TCTTCTGCTCTGTCCTGTCCTTCCCTTCTCTGTTCTCACTCTCCTCTCCTCCCCGATCCTCTTTCTTGTACTCCATTGCTGTCCCCTGCAAGCCATCGTCACCAGGGATTTGCTGTCCTCCGAATATCTCCCTTCTCCCCTATATCTTGAGTTGCTGTCCTCCTTGATGGGCTTTAGTGGGGAGATGGTACAGGGATCGTGACTTTGCAAAGGGTCCCATCGGGCCATTGGAGCAAGGAGGGGGTAGTCACTGGGAATGTGAGGGTAGGGGTGGGGGTGGTCGTAATCGAAGGTAACGTGACGCACGTGCTCATAATTCAGCGCGAAATCATGGTGAGAGGAGGAGGAGGAGGAGGAGGAGGAGGAGGAGGAGGAGGAGGAGGAGGAGGAGGAGCGAGGATGTGTGATGAAGGCTACGTTGAGATATGAGAGAATGTGAGAAGAAAGAGGAGATGGGGTAGGGGGTCTGAGCGTGGTATGCCAAGAATGATTTGGATAGAAAGAGGGGAAGGCCAAATGTACAAGGGAATCGAATTGAATGGGCAGGAACAGAGGGGCCGAATGCAATGAAAGTATTGCAGACAACGGAAAGAGAGATAATAGTCTAAACATAATCATACTGAAGGACAATGCGATAGAGCGGTATAAAGTACCATCCAAGACCCCAGGAAATCATTGCGATGGAAGGGGGCTGGAACAGGAGCGGAGCGGTGCTTGTAGGTGTAGTTTTCAGTATTCGAGGAGGATATTTGTGTACGCAATGCCAATTATGGTAGAATCTGGATGCAAGGAGGAGAGGAGGAGAGGAGGAGAGGAGGAGAGGAGACGAGATTAATCGACCTCTCACCTTCCTCTCCCTTAAGGACGCCAAGATAGCCATCATTGGGGCTGGAACCTCCGGCATTACTGCAGCTAACCACCTCAAGACTTCTGGCTACAAGTGATACCATTGATCCTGATCCTGATCCTGATCCTGATCCTGATCCTGATCCTGATCCTGCTCCTGCTCCTTCCTCTCCTGTTCTAACAACACCGATTTTGGTCCTTCTCTGCTGCACCTGCATCTGGTCCATCCCTTTCTCCCATCTCGTTTCCTACTCTCCTCCTCCCCGCATCCTTTTGCTGTTTCCCTCCTCCAGCTTTCCTCGCACACTTTGCTTGTGTGCACGGCTTTCCTCTATCTCCCCCTCACTGTGCAGTACAGCGATGTTGTTCTGCTGGAAGCGAACTCAAGGCTGGGAGGACGGTGATGAGCTTCTGAACGTGCCTGCGCGACTGATACCTCCTGATAGCGTCATGAGCACCTTCACTTGCCCTGACACGGGAGTCAAGGAGTTTGCCAGCGTTCCATGTAAGGAGGAGGGAGGAGTAGAGAAGGGGGTGGGAGGGAGGAGGAGGGATGAGGAGGGAGGGAGGGAGGAGGGAGGAGGGAGGAAGGGAGGAAGGGAGGACGGAGGAGGATTAGAGAAGAGGTGGGAGGAGGGTGGTGGTGGAGGAGGAGGAGGGAGGAAGGAGGAGGGTCTGTTGACTTCCCCTGCAGTGGAACTTGGCCCTGAGTTCATTCATGGCGATCAGAACAACTTGTTGCTTGACTATATCAAGAAGCACTACCCAAGTGTCCCGCTCCTGGTACTGCATGATGATAGTGGAGATGATGACAAAAACGTTGGTGGTGGTGGTGGTGGTGATGGTCCTGCTGCTGCTGCTGCTGCTGCTGTTGATGATGATGATGACGACGACTTGAAGATGCTGGTGGTGCTGCTGTGCTGCTGGTGGTGGTGGTAGATGACAAGCAGGAGTTGATTTAGAAGATGCTGTATAATTTTCAGTGATAATGACACTGTTCCTACAGCAAGCAGCTTGGCCCAATTACTTTTATTTCGGCAAGGAGGTTGAAACAGCAAGATAGGCCTCATGTTGCTGCTGTTGACAAGTAGGATGCCAGGGGAAGCTGGTGGGGGAGAAGGAGGCCGAGCAGGTGCTGCTCCTGCTCCTGCTCCTGCTCCTGCTCCTGCTCCTGCTCCTGCTCTTGGATGACATAGATGTGTTGTCAGGACAAGGAGCTGATGAAGATGATCGTATGAGACGACATTTTGCCTTCAAGACTGATGGCTGAGAGATTGTCTCAGGACACGTTCGAGATGACCGGAGATCTCGACGCTGATCTCATCCCCGAAGAAACTCTCCTGCAGGTGAAAGTTGGGCAGGGAGGAGGTGGTGGTTATGGTAGTGGAGAAAGTGAGGGAGGAGGAGGCGAGTGAGTGAGTGAGTGAGTGAGTGAGTGAGTGAGTGAGTGAGTGAGTGAGTGAGTGAGTGAGTGAGGAGGAGGAGGAGGAGGAGGAGGAGGAGGAGAATTGACGAGATGCCAGTTGGAATTACGGCGAAGACTATCTAGTGATGGATGGCTTGTCGTTCGCGGACGTTTTAACAGGTTTTTAACCGTCAAAAACACGATCTATGGGATGGTGGTGGTGGTGGTGGTGATGATGATGATGATGATGATGATGATGATGATGAAATGATGATGATTTTTGATTACTTTGGCGCAGACATGGCAAAGGGGCTTGACATTCGTCTCAACTGGGAGGTTTTCCTCAGTTTTCCTCGCATTTTCTTCCGCGTCTGACGTTGCGGACGTACAGGTCGCTGAGATCAACTACGAGCAAAGCAAGGTATACCTAGATGGAGGAGCAGGAGGAGGAGGAAAGAGGAGAAGGAATGGGAGGAGAGAGAGAGAGAGAGGAAGGAAGGAGAAAGGGAGTGGAAGGGGGGGGGGGCGGGGGAGAAAGGGAGAGAAGGAGGAAGAGGACTGATAGGGCACCTGACGGGAGATAAACAGGTCAAGATCACCAGCAGGAAAGGAGATACAGTCATAGCAGATCGAGTTATCATCGCTGTCCCTATCTCAATCCTCAGCAGTGCTGACGTACGCTCTGCTGCCGCTGCTGCTGCCGCTGCCGCTCTTCCAGTTTCTCCTTGTTCTCGTCCTCGTCCTCGTTCTCGTCCTCGTCCTCGTCGACCTCCTCCCTGTCCTGCTCCTCCTACTTCTCGTCCAATTCGGTTGCTCTTGCTCTTGCTCTTGCTCTTGCTCTTGCTCTTGCTCTTGCTCTTGCTCTTGCTCTTGCTCTTGCTCTTGCTCTTGCTCTTGCTCTTGCTCTTGCTCTTGCTCTTGCTCTTGCTCTTGCTCTTGCTCTTGCTCTTGCTGCTGCTGAGTTCCCTCCTCGTCTTCATTCTAACTTTGCTTCTCAAGATCAAGTTCACTCCTCCACTTCCCGCGCTCAAAGCAGAAGCGACGAAGCTGGTGAAGATGGGCAACGCCATGAAGGTGAGAGAGAAGAGAGCGGGAGCGAGGGGCGAGCAGAAGGAGAAGGACGACGAGGGGGGTCGGGAAGGGAGGGAACGAGAGGAGAGTAGAGAGCAGACAAGAGGAAGGGTCTTCTGCGAATGTTAAGAAGAAAGGAGAAGGAGGTAGTAGAGGAGGAGGAGAGCAGAGGAGAGCAGGAGAGCAGGAGAGCAGGAGAAGAGGATGTAAAGTATCTTTTAGGTGATTCTCCGCGTCAAGACTCAGTTCTGGCCGGATGATCTATGGGACGTTGTCTGCTCTGATTCCCTCATCCCCGAGGTAAATGACTTGCACCTCCTTCCCACCAGCTCCCGGTGCTCCCTGCTCCTTGGTCTCTGCTCCGCACTTTCTCCTGCTGCTGCTGCTGCTGCTGCTGCTGCTGCTGATGATGATGATGATGATGATGATGATGATGATGAGGATGCTGCTGCTGCTGCTGCTGCTGCTGCTGCTGCTGCTGCTGATGATGATGATGATGATGATGATGATGATGCTCATTTCTCGTTTCCCCTCACGATCGTTTTGTTCTCTGCGCATTCACATGACTCTCATCTCAGTTCTGGTTGACTCCGCCAGCTCAAGCTCTCAAGCGAGCCAAGATGCCGGAATATTACATAGTGATGCTTCATGGAGCCTCCTCAAGATTGTGACCCCTTCCTCCTCCTCCTCTTCCTCCTCCTCTTCCCTCTCTTCCTCTTCATGCTTCTCTTGCACCTTCTCCTCCCCTCAGGTTGGTTTCGTCTCGGGAGATCGCGCGAGCAGGTTGGCTAAGTTGCCGCACGCGGAGATCGCAAGGAAGATGATGCTCCAGGTCAGCTGGGGAGGGAGGTGGACGTGAGCTGGGGATGACTCTTCCTGTCAGCTCGATGCCATCTTCGGCTCCTCTTCTGATCCCAACCCGGCGACGAGGGCGTGCACGGGATTCCTTGTCAAGGTGAAAGAATCTCCTGTCCTATCCTATTCTGCTCTGTCCTGTCCTGTCCTGTCCTGTCCTGTCCTTTTCTCTTCCGCCCACAACAGCTCCTCCCTCACTCTCCCTTCATCTTCTCCCTCCCTCCTTCCTCTCTGACGCAGCGAGCAGGACTGGGCTCAGGAGCGGCTTGCTCGCGGGGCTTACACCTTTCCTTCCCCCGACGCTCTCGGCAAACGAGAGGCACTCGCTTCTCCTATTGGTGATGTCACTACATCTCCCTTCCTACTAGCCTCGTTTCCATCTTCCCTCCTCCCTCCCTCCTCGCTCCTCCCTCCTCCTCTCCTCCATCCTCCCTCCTCCCTCCTCCCTCCTCCCTCCTCCCTCCTTCCTCTTCCTTACTCCCTGTGGTCTCCCCCCTCCTTCTCGTTGTCACTGAGTTCTTCCTCGCAGACTCTCGCATCTTCTTCTCGGGAGAAGCGACGCAGACGGGAGTAAATCCTTGCCTGCAGGCTGCCATGTAACATAGTCCTCTTCCTCCTGCTCCTCCTGCTCTCCCTGCTCCCTCTCCTCTCCCTCCCTTCCCATCCTCCCCTTCCTCTCCCCCTCTTCTAGTCTCATCGCTTACAGGGAAACGGGTCAACGAGCAGCCAAAGAGGCCATGGACAGTCTCAATGCGCAGAAGCAGAGTGAGAAGCGCCTTCTTCCTGTCGACTCAGTCCAGCTGACCCCCACCTGCCCCGCAGAGTCAAGGCTATGAAGATCCTTATCATAGTATTCAGCAGCCTTGTAGCCTCCGATCTACTTCGCTCGTCACATGTAAACATTCAGAGTTCTCAGCTCAAGGCTGTGACGTCCGACTGTTCACTTCAACGGTTTGACCTGAGCTAGTCCGAAACGGCCGGTCGGACTGCCCGGGCCGCCCGGCCCGGCAGTTCCGGCGGTGCCGACCAGGTGCCGACGCCGGGAGGCTCTGTGAGCTCACTGTCACGGTGGCACGGCCCCCCCGGGCCGCCGGCAGCGACGCCGCAAGTCACACGGTGCCCGGCCATCAGGCTGGGGCCCGGCGCGTCACTCACCGTCGGCGGTCACCCGGCCGATAAGCCGCTCCTCTGTCGGAGTCCGGAGTCCGGGCCGGCGCGGCCCGGCCAAGTCACGGTTAACAAAACTCTCTTGTCAAACCTTGTTTCAAGTCGTGTCACGCGGCTGCACTGCCGCTCAGCGGCGGCGTAGCTACGGTGCGGTAGCCTGAGTCACTCCAGGCGGCCCCCGGGGCCTCCCGGGCCGTGCCGCTGATGACTCAGTGAGGCCGCTGTGACTGGCTGAAAGTTCCGAGCCATTCCCTGAAAGGACTGTTACAATCGGTTACATATTTGACATTTTGCAGTGCCGATCACAATGCAAGGGTCGGGGGAGCCACTGAAAGGACTGCCGCAGCGCCATGCTGAAGATTCTTCCGCTACCATCCTGATCAGTCGCCTCCTCCTCCCCTCCATCTCCTCTTCCTTGTCTTCCATCCTTCTCTCCGCCCTCCTCTTCTCCTCTCTCTTTCTTTGGGTGCCTGTCACTGCTCAAACAAGTGCCCCCACCACAAGCGCTGCCTCTGGAAGCTCCAGCTCAACTGCTACCACCACACAGGTCTATGGCATACAGACAAAATGAGAAAGATGGAGACAACGACTGTGATGGAAACGATGGCGATGATTGAGATGATGTTGATGATGATGATGATGATGATGTTGATGATGATGTTGATGATTACCATGATGATTACCATGATGATTACCATGATGATTACCATGATGATTACCATGATGATTACCATGATGATTACCATGATGATGTGAAGACAGAGAGGTCATGTCTATGCAACAAAATGAAAGACAGCATGCAGGACATCATAGCTTCAGCAGAGGAGCTCCCTTTCGTGGGAGGAACGTGGGAAATCATCCTGACTTTCAACGAGATCCGGTGAGTGAGGAAAGCAGAAAGAGGAGGACGATAACATGTTTCTAGAGCCAGTGTTGATACCATCAATGCTTGTCAAGGACCTTTTCCCTATCAATACAGGTAGAGCATTGCGATTATGGATCTTGGAGATGAAGAAGTTCGCAGATATCTAGTGGACGTATGGCAGAAGCAAGGAAAACCAGAAATACGATGGTGAATCCTTCACATGGCTATTGATCCCTCTCCCTCCTCCTTCCTCCCTCTGCTCTATCTCTCCTCCCCTGACCTCCTCCCGTTTGCCTCCCTTCCTCTGACCTCCTGCCCTCCTCCCCTCTGTCTCATCGTATCCCGCAGGTGCTACAAGGGCGTCAATTGCCTGACGTCCTATGACATCGGAACGCTGACGATGGTATGCTAACCATGTCGCACCGATGATGTCGACACGTCCTGACGCGTGCTCGGCATGCAGGCGACGCCGGACTCGACGCAATCCTTGTACTGTCATGCAGCTCGCATGCCCTGTGGATGACTGACAATGCTGGATGACGTGCAGGTGTGCGTTTACAGCTCACGATCTCCCAGTCGTTGATGTGATAACAACAATATCTTTCTCTGCCTCTCCTGCCTCTTCTGACTCTGTTGCCTCCTCCCGTCAGGTGACTCCGAACCCCTTCGCTGAGACTCCTCTGTGTCAGGGTGGGCTGCCTTGCTTGCAGGTATTCGACGGGTTGGGGGGGATGGAGCAGACGTTGACTGATGTGAGGCAATAGAATGGAAGGCACGTGTACGATATCTTGCCTAACTGCCAGTTCGATGCGGTACCATGTTGCATGCGACGTTGGCAGTTGAAGTGACCGGGCCCGTTGTCCCTGCCCGCAGCCCTGCAACTCCAAGAACGACCCGCAGCGCTCTACTCTCTTCTCAGACTTCCAGGTGTAGAGGAGACGAGGGTCATGTAGCTAGTCGGGCTGACTTGTCTGTGTTGACAGATCCCGAAAAACTCGTGAGATTTGCCCTCTCCTTTTTCCCTCCTCATCTGGTGCCTTCCCTTCCAGGCCGAGGCTGTGGGGCCTGCTGTGCAGATTCTATGACTATGCCGAGACCGCGAGTCGAGGAGGATACGTCTACTACAACGGGTGAGAGGAAGGGAGAGGCGGGAGAGAAAGGCAGGAGAGGAGAAGAAGATGGTCGGGAGGAAGGGAGGTGGGAACGTATGAGGAGAGGGACAAGGAGAGGCAGGGAAGGGAACAAAGCGAGACAGTCATCCTCATGTACTTGGCATGCAGTGCATGGAGGCATATGAACGAGACTTGGCTGTTCGTCAAAGGTCAATCTTGTCCTCTTTCCTCGAATTCTTCTCCCCCTGCTCTTCGTCGGATGAACATGTCGCAGACATTACGACATGCAGCGGATACTCCTCCAACAAGAAGCTGATGGACTCCTGCAACAAAGTCTGTCTTGACCTCTTGCTCTCCTGTCTCTCTACCCTCCTCTGCTCTGCTCTGCTCTGCTCTGCTCTGCTCCCTCTCCTCCCCTCCTTTCATCTCCTCCTTCTCGTTCCCTGCCCCTCCATGTCCCCGTCCACACCTTTCATTCCCTGCTCGCCTGCTCACCAGCAGCACCAGGTGGTCAAAGACACGAACCTCCGCATGCCGGACCCGATCTGCATGAACGTAGCTGGCCGGAGAGGGGGAAGGAGGGAGCAAGTAGCTGATCCTGAGCCAGGAGAACAACTTTGACCTCACCAAGTGCGACTATAAGCTGGTGGGAGCGACGGGAGGAGTCGTCGTCTACCCGCAGTCCACGACAGGGTCGCGTCCCCTCTTCTTCCTCCTCCTGCTCTGACAGCCTTCGCCTTGCAGGCTGCCCTACGTTGACGGCCAGCCGGAGGTGAGGACGTGGGAAGCAGAAGGGAGAGCGGGAAGAAGACGATCGAGATAGGGAGAGGGAAGGGGGAGGGACGTGTGTGTGTGCTGGGGGAGGGCGGGCGGGGGGAAGTGCAAGCAGAGAAGCAGGGGAAGGAGTAGTGGGTGATGGGGATTGGTGGTTGGGTAGCGGGAAGGGGGGGGGGGGGGTACGAAAGGAGGACAAGAGAAGGGGTTGGAATGGGGTTATGGAGGAGGAGCTGATAGCTGAACCAGATGTGCTGGCATTACGCGAACATTGAGGGCTCGCGAACCCGCGACTTCAACGCTGTGAGTAGAGGGAGAGGGGAAGGGAGAGCGGGCGTGTTAACTCAGGGGAGGAGAAGAGCTGGGACAGGGGGGAAGGAGGAGGAGGAGGAGGAGGAGGAGGAGGAGGGACAGGAGGGGGAGGGATGTGGAGGAGGAGGATCTGTTCCTGGCTGCTGATATTCACTCGACTGAGCAGATGATGAAGGATCATCCTGACTGGGCGCTGTTCTAAGATGCCATGAGAACGGGTGCGGAGGAAAAACAAGGACAGAAGGATGACGAGAGGGGAGGAGAAGGAGGGGGGATAGAGAGGCGAGCGGGAAGCAGAGGTGAAGTACATGTACAAGTTTATTCAACACATTGAAACAATATGAGCTCATGCTTGGCATGGTTGGCTGTGCACTAGACTACAAGTCGGGGCTTCGACCTTGTTTACATGGAAGTTGGAGGCTCCCTGAGATCTCCGGGTGATGAGCTGAACCCCGGCAGCATGCACCAGCTTCTGCATGTACTGCAGAGCAGGGAGGAAGGCTGGGGTGACCTTGATCGTGGACGGCAGGAGTCCAGCATATCCTCGCTCCTTCACTTGCTCCATCATCCCCTGCACCTTGAGGTATACTCCATTCAGCACCATCCATTCCGTCAAACTTCCGTCCATCAACTTGTTTGCTGCCTCCTCGTTCTCTGCTCTTCCATTGTGCGACCGCAGGCACCTCCTGACTTCTGCTAGCACGCCATCCCCGTCCACAACCTTCTTGGAAGCCATGGCGGTGATGAGAGAGCTGGTGACGAAGGAGAGCAGTGCTGGGCCATCCTCGTTCTTGGCGATTTCATAGGTATCGTCGTTCTTGGCTGGAGCATGCTCCTGAACCTCCTCATGCTCTTCGGCGTACCTCCTGACCGCCATGACCTGGTTGAAGCGAACTCTCCGTTCCTTCTTGGGGCAGCTCTCCTCAAGGCTATGCTCTGCCGCCCTCTTTCTGCACATGTCCTTGTTCACTGGCATACACATTGCGATAGCTCGTCTTGTTCTCGTTCGTCTTCTCCTCCTCTCTTCCGTTCCGCGTGCTCGGTGTGTCCTCTTCCTACTGTATTTCCTCTATTTCTACTCGTCACTTTTATGGATCCCCCCTTTGTCCCTCTCCATCCTCCCCGGTCGTACCCCACCCCTCCTTTTTATACCCCACCCCGATTATACCTACTTTAAATCCTACAGACGTTGGTTTACCCCATCATTGAACTATGTACCCCTCTTTTTACCTAATAGTACCCCCCTTTTCATAGGAAGTATGCTTCTGTTTGAGATCAACCCACCCTAAAACCTTCAATTCATTACCCACCCTCATATTTGTCTTCCATTTCAAGACCACCCACCATGAGCATGTTCATGTTTACTACAAATGTATTAGTGGATTATACATGGTCATCTCAGTGCATAAAACATGCGAAACCACACATTATCAACACACCACAGATAAGATTATCTCAGGATTTGTCAGCACATGTCATCAAGTAAAGCATGCAGCGACCGGACCTCCTTGGAGTAAACCACTCCGAGCAGGCGCTGGTACACCCTACCCTCCTCTATCCCCATGCTTCCCCAGCACCGGTCCCTAGGATAAATATCTCTGCACGACCGTAATCAAACCGTGCGAATTGCTCACGTCTGTCACCTGCTGACACCCATGCTCTGAGGCGAGTTGCTGTTTGCTGATCTGCTTCTTACGAGGATCCCCCTGATTTCCTAGTGCTCCACTCGAGAGAAGGTTGAGATAGGAGGGTACGCCCCCATTAATAGTTTCCACTTTAAGTTCCGTCGGAGTTTGGCATCTCAAAGTTTGAACTTTGAGCTCAAACTTTGAGACGGTGCGCCTTGCTCTTGTCCCAGAACGCAGCCTTGTGCTGCCTGTCAGCAGCACGGCGCCACGATCTGTAGTAAAATGCACCAATCACGGCATGTCATGGAGCAATGAGGCCATCCATCCGTTGGGAAGTGATCGAAAACGACCTTTTTCGAGGATGATACCGAGGGGATTGCTTACAGGCGCGCCGTGAGGACTCGGGACAAGGAAGACACTCCGAGGCGGGCTTCTCATGGTGTAACAGAGGCCACGAGGTTCCGAACCGCTCGCGAATCGCGTCCCTTCACAAAACGACTGGCGGCTCGTACTGATTTTAACTTAACTTTGAGCTACTAGGCTTGGCGTGCCAGGCGCCGCACGCGGCTGCACTACTGCCCGGCCGCACCGGGCCGCCGCGGGGCCCGGGGCGGGCTGCCAGTGACTCGGTACTACTAGGCTAGGATATTCGAAGTTCCGAAGTTCACGGCCGCCGCCGGGCAGTCACTCCAGGCTCGGATCCGGGACGGCGCACCGTAGCACTGGCCCCCCGGGTCACCGGTGTTCCCGACGCTCAGGCGCGGCCCGGCGCCGCTCAGTGATTCGGAAGCCCAGCACTGCGGCACACTGATCGGACGGACGCCGGGCTGGCAGGCTCAATGGCGTGACTCGTGAGGCGGCCCGGCGGCGGTCCCTGGTCGTCAGGCACTGCAGGCTCTTGGCTCACGACGTTCACCGGGTGGCACCCATACTAGGTATTACAGTATCAAAACTAACTTTACTACGGTCGGACTCAGCCCGTGACTGGTGACGCCGCCGGACGCATGACGGTGCCGCACTGTCCGATCACCGCCGCCGTGCCACTGACTCGCCGGACCGTGTGGCGCTGCACACTGAATGTCCGAGGCCGAGCTGCCCTTTACTGTCACGCCGTCCGAAACTCAAAACTCAGTTGAAACGGGCCCAGCCCGGCGGTCACCGCCACGACCTCAAGCTGTGCCGTGACTCTCCGCTGCCACTCGCCGGGCGGCGCGGCACGGCCTACCGCACTCGCTGACCTCCCGGCGTCCGCGATTTCAGACTGGAAATGGACGTCAAGCACACGACCACTGGCTGTGGAGACCAGCAGGGGGACTAGCTGAGCATTTTGAATTTGCTGTACCTGTCAAGAAGAGCTTCCTGCAGTTCGAGGTCCTCGTCTTGTATCCCACTGCAAGGTATGATGCGTCACAGTAACAATGCTAACGAGGAAAGCAGAGGACAGCAGGGGACAGATAATGCTGGGAGGAGTACGATAGAGGGGCGGGGGAATCCAAAAGGATGAGAAGAGAATATTAGGGTGGAGGGCATGGGATGGGAAGCTTGCGATGTGGAGATACGGAGGAAACGGGAGCATCACTCGTTCGAATCTTCATCTCGATGGTGACGAGAGGTCTTGGAAGGAGACTTATGGTGCCCCCCTGCAGCGAAACTCATGAACCAGGAGGGTCAGCCGCTCCAGGCTCACCACTCAGATAGTTGGAGGAATGGTTGATCCTTCTGCTGCTGTGCACGTTTCAACCTCCCAGTAACAGCACCGCTCCCTGTCAAACCTTCCCGAAGGACCCTCGTGGACCTCTTCTTCTTCCGTCCTTCCGTCAGCATACTTCTTCACTGTCTTGGTGACTTTCTGGCCGTTCCTTATCACGGTCGACGTGGAGATGCTGACGCCTCCGAACCCTCCCGATGATGTAGAGGTGAAGGAGGAGAACGAGCCCCCCCCCATGCCTAAGGCAAGTTTTCTCACATGGGTCGAACGGGGAGGACTTGAGAAACAAACCACTCATTCCTGAGAAGAAACACTGTCAATTTCCTTGAACCCACCAGACAAGATCAATGTACCAAAGAAATCGTCAAAAAAACCTCCACTTCCGGAATTTCTGCACTCAGAATCTCATGACAAAGAACGTGTTACCCAGAAGGGATAAAACCTGCCCCTTGAACCAAACATGCTGCCACCAAAAGCTTGTTCAAAGATTTCAAAGGGGTTCCTGTCAAGCTTTAGATTGGAGCCTTCAAATGAGGATGTACGAAACCTTGAACCAAATACTTCAGCAAAGATGTCCTCCGCAGACCTGAAGTTGAAGTCTCCGAAGCCTTCCGCGTCTCCACTGATAGAAAGGGATTCAGCTCATTCGGAAATTCCAATTCAAGAGAGACAGGGTGAGGTATCGAGGGACAATTCATGCATACCTCAAGCCGCTGGCACCGTACGTGTCGTACATTTTGCGTTTGTTGGGGTCAGAGAGAACATCGTAAGCTTCACTGAGAAGCTTGAACTTTCTCTCAGCCTCCTCTCGGTTGTTTGGATTCTTGTCCGGATGCAGCTTCAGTGCAAGCTTTCTGCACAACGTTCCGGTCAGGACCGCCAGGTCAGCTTGGTCGCATCGCACCTGTAAGCCTTTCGGACCTCGTCTGCCGTGCAATCTCTGCGTCCTCAACTTCAGCCGGCACGCAACATTCCAGCTCATCGATCAGCGTTTACCTTGATACACCGAGAACTTTATAGTAATCCTTCTCGTCTTCTTGCGAGCCTCCTCTCAGCCTCATCCCGATCAGCGGGGAGCGCTTTTTGATAGCAGTTTGACGCCTCGACTCTTTTCCGCATGCCAAGTCAGGCAAGGCCGACAAGACAAGGTCATGTCTACCGTCTGCCTGACTCCAAGAGCTTGTCAGCGCACCATTGGCAATGATCTCTACAGCGCAGCACTGAACCAGCAAGATGAGACAGAGGCCCCGCATCCCACCACATCCCTACATGGATGTAAGACTGAGCTTTTGCAAGTGGCACAAGATCACCGAGTAGATGCCGTTTGCAGCCATGCGTTCTGCTCCGGAGTTTCAAAATGAGCACCTTTTTTTCATATACGTGGAACCTTGCCATGAAAGTGACTTATGCTGAAAGTCTGATATTCTTGTAAAACAACTATGGTTTTCATGATGTGATAAAACCCCACACATTGTACTGCATATCGACATTTTCAACTCCTCCCTTCGCCTTCTATTTCAACCGCATGATGAATTCTAGTTTTTCACTGTTCGGCATTCTTGGAGCATGCTCCTTTACGTTGCTATTTGGTGATGTCATAGCAAGAGGATAATTCAAACGCATGCTCAAGGGCGCAGTGAATGCTGCTGCGCTTCTATTCCCTCCTCACTCCTTGGCAGACAAGATAGTTTGTCTCGCCCGTCCCTTCCCTCGCGCGTCGAGACATGATGTATCTCTCATCTCTCTGCTCATTCAGCGCTCTACCATTCCGTATCTACACTTCATACTTCCCTCTGCCCATGTCGTCCCCGCGCCATATTCTTCTCCTTCTCTATCTCCTCCTTCCCCTCCCCAAGTCAGGGCAGCCATTGTTCCCCTGCATTCTGGAGACATGACCTACCGGTTGTTTTGGTACATCCACACAGGGGGTAGGGTGTAGTTGAGGCCCAAGCAGTTGGAGGGGTTATTTTCTGATTCTTGAATACTAAAAGAATAGGGTAGGGTACCTTCAATTCCAGAAAATGGCATCCTGCTGAGGCGAGCCCGTTATATCGGGCCCGGCCGGGGTCGGTCACTGAAATGAGTGACAGACTTGAACCGATTTATGCAGGATTTGATCCGGTTCAAATCATCATCTATTCTGGGGATTCGGAAGCAATGTACACCAGACGACTGAAGTGAAGGCAGGAAGAAGACGAGAAGACAAGAAGACAAGAAGACAAGAAGACAAGAACACAAGAAGACAAGAACACAAGAAGACAAGAACACAAGAAGACAAGAACACAAGAACACAAGAACACAAGAACACAAGAACACAAGAACATAAGAACACAAGAACACAAGAAAACCACAAGCCTACAGGGCAGCAAGTTAGACGTATTCATCGACAGAGAGGTCCTCGCCTGCGTAACAGGGAGAAACGCGCTCTCAAGCATGGATCTCGTTATTGTCAGGAGGGAGAAGCTGCGGCACAAGGGGGTGGCATCGATGAGCCTGGTAATGCTTGTGGTCGTCGCCATGGCGGTTGTCGTCATGCAGCAGGAAGATCAAGGTCATGTGACGGAGCTGACTGGGAGCGCAAGTAGGAGGCTGGTTGGAGCTCGGCTCCCCGCCTTCACTCCAGCAGCACTTGCGCTCGCTCCCGTGGAGAAGAAGGAGCTGTCAAAGCACGAGAAGGAAGTCGATGGGATCCTGAAGGAGGAGAAGAGGAGGCAGGCGGAGCGGAACAACTCTTCCTCAACGGGCCCAGCTCTGAGCAAGAAGGACCTGGCCAAGATCGAGGCGGCTGCTCGAGCAGCAGCAGAGAAGAACAACAAGCTGCTCGAGGATGCTGACAAGCAGCTTGAGGCATCGCAGGAGGAGCTGGGAGGAAATGCGGTCAACGTCCCCCTCCTCTCATCGCGCAGGTGTTGCCGTCCTCTCTCTCCCTGTGATCGCTGACCTACGGGGAAGGAACGCAAGGTGGCACCCGGCTCACAAGAGTCTGAGCTCCTACGTAGCCATGGCAATGAAGGTGATAGAAGAGAGGAGCAGGAGCAGGAGCAGGAGCAGGAGCAGGAGCAGGAGCAGGAGCAGGAGCAGGAGGATGCGGAGGTAGTGGTGGAGCAGGAGGCCACAGTGGCGGTGAGAGAGGGAGGCCAAGGTGGTGGCAAGAGATGGAGGCGAAGGAGGAGGAGGATCCTGACTCGGGGAGCAGGACAAGGACGCGAGGAAGGCGTACAGCAGTGCCAAACAGGCGGCAGAGAGGAACAAGAAGCTGATGGAGGAGGCGGGAGAGATGCTCCAGCATTCAGCAGAGGAGCTGGGAAGAGACGCAGTGTCGCTGCCGTCGCTGGGAAAGCCTCTAGGAGGAAAACCTTCACCTCTCTACGAGAAGGTGAGGAGGAGCTGGGGAAGGAGGCAAGAGAAGGAGGAGGGAGGGAGAGGGAGGGAGGGAGGGGAGGAGGGGGAGCAGTTGGGTCGGGAAGCGGACAGTGGAAAGAGGAGGGGAGGGCAGGCCTAGGAAGGAGGTGGGGATAGGGGTGGTAGAGGATGGAGGGAACGACTGGATGTGGATGAGTAAGTGACAGAGCGCAGGTGGTTGGAAGGAGCAAGCGGATGGAGAAAGAGGAGAAGCGAGGGGGGGAGGCAGCAGAGACACAAGCGCTTGGGCCCTCTTCTACGGGAACCAAGGGAGAGGAGGAGGAGGAGGAGGAGGAGGAGGAGGAAGGCAGCAGGTGAGGAGGTCTCGTTGGGGATATCTACTCTGGTCTGGAAGAAGCGAACAGCCAGCAGGGGTCAGACGAAGGAGTTGAGAGTCGCTTCCTCAAGGCCACAGCTCTTGCTAGAGTTTTCTAGAAGAGGAGCAGGGGGAGAGCTGAAGGCGAAGAACGGAGGCAGCAAGAAGGGGAGGGGAGGGGAGATGGGGAAGGGGCAATCAGCTCAGTGATTATTCGTTTCAACATGTTGTTCTAGAACTGCGTTGTATCCTACATTCCCACTCTCCTCCCGTCTCCTCCCCTCTCCTCTCGTCTTTCAGCTGCCTCCGTGCTTCTTCGGAGGCTCGAGGGGGATGTGGAGGCGGTCGAGGGGAGCGGCAGGGAGGGTGCAGGAGGAGAGGTCCTCGTTGTCAGGAGAGTCGAGCAAGTCGCTCTTGCTGTAGCGGAATGCACCATTGCCTCCTCCCTTGCCGAACCTGAGTAGCAAGTCTTGACACAGAAGCGGGAGGAGCATGGGGTGCAGGAGGGGAGGGGAGGCAGGAGCAAGGAGTGAGAGCAAGAAGGGATGGAGGGAAGAGAGATCTGGGAGGGCAAGTAGGAAGGGGAGCGAGCTGAGAAAGGAAGGAGAGGATCAAGATAAGGAGGTGGAAGGGATTTTACCTTCTTATCCGTCCAAGACGCAAAAGGACGCGAAGAGCCTGTGGAGTGAGAGACAAGACAAGACAGAAATCAGAGGGAGAGAGAGAGGGAGAGACGAGGAGAGAGAGACGAAGAGGGGGACGGGAACTAGGGTAAGGTAGAGGAGGAGGTGGAGGAGGAGGTGGAGGTGGAGGAGTAAGAGGTGGAGGAGGAGGTGGAGGAGGAGGAGGAGGAGGAGGAGGTGGTGGTGGTGGTGGAGGTGTATTCATTCTGCACCTTCCCCGTCCCAACGTTATCACCTACTGAATCACGAATCTCACGTTCAGTAAGATTTTCACCTGCGAAGGAATAAACGTGAGAGGTGAAGAGGAAAACAAGGAGGAGGGGGAGGACAAGAAGAGGACGAGGAGCCTGGAGATGAGAAGGTGATAGTCGAGGAGGAGGAGGAGGAGGAGGAGGAGGAGGAGGAGGAGGAGGAGGAGGAGGAGGAGGAGGAGGAGGAGGAGGAGGAGGAGGAGGAGGAGTGGAGGAGGAGGAGGAGGAGGAGGTAGGAGGAGGAGGAGGAGGAGGAGGAAATGGAAGAGATGGGAGGGTCCAGCTCTACCCGAGCTGAGAAGTCTCTCGATCTTGTTTGCGATCCTCTGCAACCTGACTTCAATCGGGACCTGCACATGACCGTCAGGCCGACCCGCTCCCTCCCAGCTGAATCCCACCTGAGGTACCACCCCCTCCGGCAGCTTGTCCGGCCCGTCGTAGTAGGGAGCAGCTGTGTACTTGTAGGGATCACTCGCTCCTCCTCGTCCTGCTGGGATTCAGGTGGGCTCCGGAGGAAGGAGGGGAATTGGGAGGGCGGGAAAGTGGAGGGGAGAGAAGGGGAAGAAAAGGGGAGGGGAGAGGAAAGAAGAGGGAAGGGAAGAGAAGAGGATAGGAGGGGAGGGGAGGGGAGAGGGAGGGGAGGGGAGAGGGGAGGAGAGATTGGCGTAGAAATGACAGTGGAGGACAAGTTTGGCGGAACCAGAGAGGAGAGGAAGAGGGTAAAGCGAGAGAAGATCGAGAGGAGGAGGCTACAAGCCTGTTCTGTAGATTTTTCCTTCCGTGCAAAGTCTTCGTAGAATCTCCCTGATGGATTGATCAAAACCCCTTCCCATGTCATGACCTTCTTCTGGCCATTCTCTTCCCTTTCTCCTCCCCTCCCTCCCCTCCCTCTCACTCTCCCCTTCCTTCCCCCCATCCTTGCCGCTGGCCTCTCCTCCTCTGGTGAACTGAATGACATGGTCTTGTCTTCCACCTCCCCTCGCTGACCTCGCGTATCTGCTGTCTCCCACCCCGCTCAGTATCTGTTTCTCTGACAGCGACTGAGAGCCGAGAATCTGCTGCAATCATGAGAAGAGGAGAGGAGGACTGGAGTAGGATGAGAAGGAGTAGTAGAGGAGGAGGAGGAGGAGGAGGAGGAGGAGGAGGAGGAGGAGGAGGAAGGAAAAGGAGCAGGAGAAGAAAGGAGGAGCAGGAGAAAGAGGAGGAGATAAGAGAAGGAGCAAGAGCAGGAGAAGAAAGGAGGAGCAGGAGAAAGAGGAGATAAGAGAAGGAGCAGGAGCAGGAGCAGGAGCAGGAGCAGGAAGAGGAAGAGGAAGAGGAAGCAGAGGAAGAGGAGGAAGAGATCTTTCCTCAAGGATGCTTTCTCTCTTAATCGTCTTCTTATCCAGCTGCTGTCTTGCTTCAGTCTCAGCTGTTCATTGGCTGCCACCAGCTGTTCATTGGCTGCCACCAGCTGTTCATTGCCTGCCACCACTTGATCAAGCTTCTCTTGCAAAAGTTGTGTCTTCATCATCCACTGCTTTTCGTGAACCAGTGATGTGACATGAGGCGGACATCCAGTACTACGATAAATGGGAACCTGCACAGTGCACATCATGTTCTCGGAACTTTCATTCATCTCTGTGGGTACGTCTGTAGGAAGCAGAACTAAAACTTGCTCTTTCAGCTGTTCATAAATTCCAGTATCCCGAAACAATGCGCAGCTCCATAATGGATGACTGGGGTCCAACTCCTTTCTCAAGTAATCGAAATGATACACAATGCTTGCTAAGCAATGTATCAGAATCCCATTCATATTCCCTGGCAATGTAGGAAAACATAACTGAATCGTACTCTGTACTAATTCATCATTTCCCTTCTTGAACTGTGGAGGTAATGACGCAAACATCGCCGAATGAATGGGTAATCCACAGGCCGTACGACCAACAAACAGATCTGATGCAGCCTCGTACTTGAAGTAAGTCTTGGGAATTGTTCCGTTGTTCCAACTGGCTCGGTCAGAAACCGCGGTAACTGATGGACAGTGAGTAGAACCACTTGTACAATACGTCGCTGCACCCTACACGTAGGGTTCAAACAATCTTCACATCATCAATCAATATCTCACCTTTCGAATGGAGTGGGTGCCTAAATCCTCCTTGTTCATCCCAAGTCTTTGCAGCTCCTGACAGACAGCTTTCCGAATGGCTCGGTAATCATACGGAGCATCCTGTGCGCTAGAAGATTCATCACACTCACCCCGTTCGGGCAGTGTCATGACTTTCTGCAGACAATTGACAAAACGATGGTATTGACTGCCACCTATCATGCCCAAAAAATGCATCAGTATCAACCACATTTCATGCCAAGTACACCTGGAAACAACTTCCTGGTGTCTGGAGAATGACTCATAAGGTACACACCCATAGCAAGAATGGGGCAAATTGCAGGACAGATCGGATTGGCATATATTGATTTCGGCTCGTTCCGTTCTCCAACTTGATCTGTCTTGCTATGAGGAAAACATATCCACATGTGATCGTCTTTCCATCCCATGTGTTGAAACAGAATCTCAGCCGTATTGACAGATCTGCAGATCAGATTCCAACTTAGTATCAGGAAGGTACGACCAACTATTAAATCCATCTTTTTACATTTCAGCAACTCTCCACCCATTATGACATACAAACTAAAGGGTAATGGATCCTTGCCAGATGACAATTTCGTTCCACTCACGGCTCTCTCATCTGCGATGGTGTTCTGAAGACCTTTATAGAAATCGGCTATCTGAACGTCGAACTTTCTCCTGTACGTTTTGGTCTTGTGGTGCCTTCTATAGAAATGCCTAACACCTGATCTCAAAGCTACGTATGACGAGAATTTCAACTTTTTCTTCATCATGACATTTACCACATAGCTGGTCCATTGCTTGTATGAGAACCTTCTCGTGTTGAATGGTAACAATTCTCTTCTCTTCAACAATTCTTTGATCTTCTTGGTAATTGGACCACGATTTCTGGGTTCGTTGTCTAAACAACTCTTGAATTCGTGATTCAAACAAAATGGTTTGGTTTCATACAACCATGCAATCAGCTGACTTACAGAACTCAAGTAACATGCCTTCGAATTGTCCGAGAGCATCCTGTCTTTGACAGACTCGATTTTTTCTCTTGTTTCTTGTTCGTCCTCGCCTTCCATTTCCTCCACTTCCTCGTTATCGTCCTCGTCGTCGTCGTCTTCTTCGTCTTCGTCTTCGTCCGAGGCTTCGTCTCCGCCTACCTCTCTCTCTGCAACTCCGTCTGCGTCGTGATCGTTCTCCTTGTTGCATACCCGTCTAGTTCTGTTAGTCCCTGAAACGTATTCCACAATTGATTCCGCGATTTGTTCTTCAGAGATGGAAGGAACAACTTTTGGGGTTTGCTGCTGCGCTGAAGTTTTTGGTCCCTTTGTTCCTTTTGGGTTGCGAGTCGAGCAACCACAATCACTCCACTCTTCACTCCATTCACTAGCACAAAGATGATGAAACAGGTTTGAGCAGACAGTACATTGATACAGTTGAGCTGCGTCGTCCCTAACCTTGCATCGTGAACCGAACAAGCATTTCTGACGGCTACCTTGTGATCCAGCGGCTGTGGCCATGCTGAGCGATTTGCGCGGGTTGCAGGTATGAAAGGGGGGGTGGGGGGTGGAGGGGGCCGTGGGCTGCAATAAACTACTACGCAGGAGGCTCAGGATTTAGGGGGTAGGAGCAATTAGAGGTCCAGAGTTGAGTGAAAAAAAATCTCTAATTGAAATTTCCTGTTTTGGTCATGATGTTTTTCAATAAATTTTTACAAATATGATATCCCCTCTGTCAACCCGCAAAAGTAGGGGTACTCAGATTCCGCACCCCTAAAATAGTTTTAATAAAGTTTGGGATTTCAGGAAATCCGGCGGACAGGGATTTGAACTAGGAAAAATCCTGAAAACGCTAGCTAATTGCTGTTTGATTGGAAACATGGGAACCTGTGTTCCAGAAGTACCCTACAACACATAGGGTAGGTAATGGAAAAATAACCGGTACAGGAAAAAAAAGATTGCCGTTGCTAGCTGACGTACGACTCCTTGATTTGAAAACAAAAATACTTATTGGCTGGATTTACTACACTCGTCAATGGCTGACACTAATAAGATTTCATGGGCGTGTATCGAAATATACGAATAACCCTACCCCCTCCATATCAGACAAACATACCGGTACACAGGGTAGAGAACAGCCAAGAGGCGTGTAAGCCGGAACTCAAATGCTTAAAACAAATATAAAAGAGTACTGAGTGGTACAAATGGATCTGGTACAAAATTGACTAAAAACTGTACGCTTATGATCAAATTAACAGGTACAAGTGTTTGTTAAAAGGATATTAATTTATAATTGGGCATTAGTAAATGCCATGGAATGGTCTGAGGCGGGGCTGAAGGCTGCAGTCGGTCTACTGACGGGCCCGGCCGGCAGGATCCGTTGCCGTTTTCTACGCTAAGTCCCGCGACCGGGCCCGCCTCAGCATATATATCACGCGGAGGACCCTGCAGGCTCTCAGATCTGTCTATCAGGCTCTCAGATCTGTCTATGCAGGCTCTCAGATCTGTCTATGGATTTCTCTACTAAGAGGGAAAGCGGTGAAACAGAAGGAGATCTACCTCTCTTTTATTTCTTTCACACACACACACACACACACACAATCGTGGAACACACACGAAAGGGGAAGAGGACCACCTAGCCTAGCTCTGACGAGTTTCATCCTTTTATAGCTTCGAGGAAGGAGCCAGGGGTAGCGTCTCTGGGCTACAGAAAGGAGGGGTGTCCTGTCCTTGGAAGTTGACAAGCATCCCTTCTGACCTTCGAAAGGATACCATGCTCTCTCGCAGGGAAGAGAACCCCGTCCTTGCATGGCAGCAAGCTGCTTCCAACGGGTCGTACTCCACAAGACGCACCCCTCCTGTTTACCTTGTAGGTCCCCCACGAGTACACGGTTGCTGCAACAAAGACCTCCAGAGGGGTCCTTTCAGTAGATTCATACTGGAGTAGAGTATCCTGGGTCATCCAGGAGAAGTCAGCTTCGAACACGAGTACGAGACAGCCAACTGTCCTTTCATCCTGATAGGCCTTTGTCTGACTCGGGCTCGGTTCCTATGAGCTCTGACAGGTTCGATCGAACCTTGGCTTCCGCCAAGAGTGTGAAAAGATAAGAGTAAACAATTCTCTCGCTGCACGCTCTTAACAAGGTTGGTGAGTTTCACTATCGCCTGGAGAGCATGGTCTATATCCAGGCTTTCCGCCTTGACCATCGGATCTTTCGTCAAATCCTCCTGGCATGGTCATATGAAATCCATAAGGACTTCAGCGAGGTGTATCTGTATCCTCTCTGTGTCTTCCGGTATCATCCTGCTGAAGTCGGATATATCCTTGGTTACTCGGATACATACTTTGTTTCCTTGTGGCTGCTGATCGTGCAGTTCTTGTAGAGATTGATCACATTGAGACTGTTCGGCATCTTATTCATCATGTTTGCGATGTTGTAATATATCCAAGACGTATGCGGCTTCGATCTGTTTGAATCTTGCATTGGGACTTGGAATCCAAAATGGATCTTCATCGTTCTTTCGTTTCGCTAACTCCAAGAGACCGTACCTAAGAAAACCGGTTGAGGAAACTTGCTCGCAAAGACAAACCAAAGAACGATTCTTTCCTTAGAATATCTCCCCTCTCTCGTCCTGAACCCCAAAACTACCTCATCACCTTTGCTTCCTGCCACTGCCACTAGTCATGGGACTAAGCTGTTTTAGGCTGAAGATAAGGTATCAATTTGAAGATATTTTCTTCCCTGTCCGTGACAATAATCCCGCAGACTGAGCAACTATCGCGTACGGATTTATCCTCAGCGAGTGATAATTTCATTGAATGGGCATGAGGTACAGTTGAGACACATCAGTGTTTGTTTAGCTTTCATTTGCAATTCCATTTCGTACTTTAATTGCAGAGCAACTACCACACAGGAATGAAAATGGGAAGACAGTGAGAAAGCTGCTTCACAATTCACGGAAGCTGAATGATTGAAATGTCCGAATCAACTCAGTAATTCTTTCGTCAGGAATCGGGATCTGGTGAATTCCAATAAAGAATCCTGCTGAATGCACGACCTCAGCACCCGGAAAATCAGACGGATTCAGCGGAGATAAGTTCTGCTTGACAAAGGGTTGTCGAAGAAAATTGCCGCTTATGATTGGTCTGTTTTCAACACCCATTTCAATCAAATATGCAAGAAAGTCTTTGAGCTGATGAGTGTACGTGGGACACAACAAACAGGCAAGACCGAACCATGCAGGATCAGTTCCATCTGAAGCTTCCATCAACTGGATTTTGCCTCGAAGTCCTGGGCTGCTATTGATAGCTTCTGAGATACGGCGAAAGTTGTTTCGCCGGCATTCATTGAATTCACTTAGCCTTGCCAGTTGAACCTTTAACATTGCTCCTTGTACTTCCATTGGTCTTAGATTGTACCCTGCGTTCAGAAAAAGGAAGCGAGGGTCGATATCAGGGTATAGTTTCTCAATAGCTTCTTTGTTGCTGAGTTGTCTTGACCAACCATGTGCTCTGAGACAGACCGCAAGATTGTAATCTGCTTCATTTTGACAAACCAACATTCCTCCTTCACCTGAAGTTATGTGATGGGAAAAGTAAAACGAGAATGTCCCGAACGATCCTAATGTACCAAGCATGCATTTCTCACCATCAACACAGCAGTAAGATCCAAGAGATTCACAAGTATCTTCAATCAAAACCAAATCATGTTGTTTAACAAAATTCATCAAGTCTTGCATGCAAATCGAGTTACCAAGAACATGCACGGCCATGATTGCCTTGACATTTGGGTTCATCGCGTTTTGCAAGCTTTGAAGGGACATATTCATCGTCCTGGGATCAACGTCAACAAACCTTGGAGTAAATCCCTGCTGAACAATGGGGAAAAGACTCGTTGACCAACATACAGCTGGTATCAAAATTTCCCAGTTTTGATTTGCTTCCATGAAGCGATGTTTTAAGCATGCTAATGCAAGGAGATTTGCAGAACTCCCACTGTTGACCATGCAAGCATATGGTACAGAAACTGTTCGAGCAAACAATTCTTCAGCTTCAGAGACGTTTTCTCCCATTGTTAACTTCCCAGATAGTAAAACCTCCGCCATGGCAAGAATTTCTGCAGAGCCGAAAGGGTTCTCAGCCAAAGGAAAGACTGCATTTGATGGCAACCTTGATGACTTCCTCTTGTTCCATTCAGCTGTGAATGATATCTTCCAATCTTCGGCCTCTTCAGACATGGACAAACCCATATTGTTGACTGAAATATTTTGGCTTTAAATGAATTTTTTTTGAATTGCCGGTTTGTTGCGTTATGGACTAGCTGTTTTACCCGGCGTGTTGGTCATACTGTGTTGAAACTATAAAAGCATTGAGCTCAGGGCGCAACCTTGAAAAGGGTTATACTTCACGAAAAAAAAAGAAGCGCAGTTTATTACTGTTGTAGGACGTATTTACTGGTACAAAAGGACTGTACCGGATATCCAGAGATTTCACTCAAGTTCCCTGACAATCATGGTACTCATGCCTGGTACAAATTTGTACCAGGTCTTTCACACTTAGCCATTTCGGCGTTGCTTTCATGGCGGATCGTTGCGGTTGCGCATTCGCCTTGGTCAGGTACTTGTGGGCTTCGGAACACCTCCTCACCCATCACATGACCTCTGAAATCGGGCCAGGCTCCTGATCTTCGGTATGTTTGCAGTGGGGCTCCCGACGTTACGAGTTTTTTCTAAGGCGGGTCAAGGGAGGTTTTTTTCCCCCTGGGAGAAATGTCCTATGGGTTTTTGGATCTGCGATATAAAAAAAGTCTTGTCTCGGTCACGTGATGTGTCACGTGACCGGTCAGGTGAGCCTGTCAGCCGGGTCACGGACCCTGTCAGCCGGCTGACATGTCACGGGCCTGCTGACACGGTCCGCTGACCGGTCACGGCCGCCCGGAGAGATCAGGCCCCCGGCCAATCTCCGGACACTTAGCCTCCTGGCGGGCCTCCAGGGGGTCTGAGGCGGGGCTGAAGGCTGCAGTCGGTCTACTGACGGGCCCGGCCGGCAGGATCCGTCGAGAAACAGGGGGGTCAAGGGAGGTTTTCTTCCCCCTGGGAGAAATGTCCTATGGGTTTTTGGATCTGCGATATAAAAAAAGTCTTGTCTCGGTCACGTGACCGGTCAGGTGAGCCTGTCAGCCGGGTCACGGCCCCTGTCAGCCGGCTGACATGTCACGGGCCTGCTGACACGGTCCGCTGACCGGTCACGGCCGCCCGGAGAGATCAGGCCCCCGGCCAATCTCCGGACACTTAGCCTCCTGGCGGGCCTCCAGGGGGTCTGAGGCGGGGCTGAAGGCTGCAGTCGGTCTACTGACGGGCCCGGCCGGCAGGATCCGTCGAGAAACAGGGGGGTCAAGGGAGGTTTTCTTCCCCCTGGGAGAAATGTCCTATGGGTTTTTGGATCTGCGATATAAAAAAGTCTTGTCTCGGTCACGTGACCGGTCAGGTGAGCCTGTCAGCCGGGTCACGGCCCCTGTCAGCCGGCTGACATGTCACGGGCCTGCTGACACGGTCCGCTGACCGGTCACGGCCGCCCGGAGAGATCAGGCCCCCGCATAGCGTTGACATTTTGCTTTTTCTGCTTTGGGCTGTATGTTTTCCCGTGAGGGGGTTGTTCTGCTTTCTAGGTGGATTGGGGGGTGGCGTGTTTGAGGATTTCAAACAGGGTCCAAATTTCAGGTTTATAACTCTGATGTTGTTTTCCAATAAGATATTTTAAACTGTATTGTGGAATGGTTGAGTATAAACAGAGAAGTAGGGCTGCACCCCAGAAGTTGCACTGAGATCATGGGGTAGTCGACTAACTAATTTGTAGAGCCTTCTTATGGTACAATTTTATAAACAAGTTTGAACGACCTCTCTACACGCCATGAGCCTCCCCTTGTTCGGGGCACGTCGCACCGCTCTGTACTGCCCTAACCATGGCTCGCAAACAGCGAGCCCGCGGCAGCGTGTGCAGACATCAGATGTTCACCGAACCTCCTCATGGGAAATTCCTGAGGTGTAGAGATGATGATCCTTGAGGAGTGCTTCGTACAGTGCGTGGATCTCACGAAAAATCGTTTGGTGAGCGAAGAGCATCAATAATACAAGTGAAAATCACCATCACAGGGATACGTTGCAATCGAAACCGGGTTGTGAAATACCCTAAGCTATCTGCGATGCATGACAGGGAAACTGAGTTGGAGTAGATGGATGGAGATTACACACAAGACGACAGGGAATCATCATCCGACGGTGACTGGATTGTTCAAAAGCCGTACAGTCACCAGTGAGCTCAAGAACACATGTCTTCACGATGATGGCTGATAGGCTCGCAAGAAATACAGTGCATTTTAGCAGTGAGCTGCTCGATTGCTTGAAACCACGATGATCCACAGCACTATCGAATGATAACAAGCAAGTCCAGTGGTTCGTGAAGGATTCTTCATCCGGTTTTCAAGGATGTGTTGGAACGATGAAACATGTTGCAAATCACCAAGGTCTATGCCATTTGATCACATGATGCATCATCTAAATATTACTGGTGTGAACTTGCATCAGATCGTGTGTCCATCAATGAGCCGCTGCCAAGCAGATGAAACGGTCACAGCAAACACGAGCACTTTGAAGATGCTGATATTCCAGGCCGTACAGCATTTATGATGTGGCTACATGTCACATGCTTCTTGTTTACAATCATCGAGTGTTTGCTCTGTTGAACAAGGCACCCCTCTGTAGAGCCAAATGCGACAAGAACTCTACTGTTGCATGGTAGCATTGCGAACTGTCCAAACAAGGCAGGATTGATTCGAAGAACATCTCATTTATTGATATCAGATTCATCTGCACATTGTTTCATTTCTAACTAGGTTTCTGCAGCGTTGTGGAAATGTCATGACAAAGGAAGAACTTAGTTGCAGTGCAGAAAAATCATCCAACGTCATGAAACATGGAAATGCAATTGTCAATCCACTTGATCATGGGTATAGTGATTCATGATCAACAACGATGATTCAAAGTCATCTATCCTGGCAGGTAAAGAAATCCTTTGTGCAAACGTCTCTTCATGCATCATTGAACGGTTGAGCATGTAAAGCTTTCTCTATAGAAAAGTGAGGTGCATGAATCCTGACCGTAAGACTAGAAGAATTGAAAGTGAGTGATGACATGAGAACACATATCTAGACAGCAAAGTCGCTTAAGGTACAGTTTGATACAAATTTCTCACAAATCATGCATTTGAGCTCAACGTTCAACCTACGGCAATTTGAAAGAAGGGTCAATCAGAGTTGATTCTGTTCAATGGTGAATCTATCATTAGTTGCTTAGCTGTTCATGAAAATTTCATCTTGTCTTCGAAGAATATTTTCAAGTACACACGCGGATTGTTTGTACCTAGGGTGCATATTCCAGTACACGATGGATGATTCAAACCTTGGCCCAACCTGCAGAGTTGAGAAAGAAGCTCGATCATCTCTTACAGGTATGATATGAGATCTTCATCTCATTCCTATCTCAGTTGGGTTGGATTCGAAGTCTCTCAATATCGAGGTTCATCCTCGCGAGTCAGGAAGGCACCATTTCATCGCCTCTTGCTCGTCCAGGGAGAGGGGGCTTGGGGAATGAGAAATGGGGGCTACCCCCTACCCCCTATCACAGAGTTTCAAACTGGTTCAAAGGTGGGTAGTTGAGGGTGCTCCATACCCACCCCACCCCCCAACGAAAGTCAAACGGAGGGGTTCTCGGAAGTCGAAGTTCCGACCAGTTTGGCCCTCGTTTTGTACCATATAAACGCTGCAATATTAAGTTGGTACCACAGATACTTCTAAAATTCGTACTTTTACTTTGGTTTGGCGTGGTGAAGTGTCCAAGCAACCAAATTCAAATCACCCTACCCCTCTCTGGCCCTGCGCAGCAACGATTTTCCTAAGAGCGAGTACCCTCCTACACGCCTTCTCAAAGTAGGGTACTCCCACATGGCATGAAATGAAGGGACCCCACAGGCCCTTCGAAAAAAAAAAAATCTTGCCAATTTTTCCTATGAGCGCCCGGCCGGAAAAGCAACGCTATGGCCAATCTCCGGACACTTAGCCTCCTGGCGGGCCTCCAGGGGGTCTGAGGCGGGGCTGAAGGCTGCAGTCGGTCTACTGACGGGCCCGGCCGGCAGGATCCGTCCATTCTGTAGGTTTTTGACCAGGAAAAACAAAGGAAAAGTGGCTTTTCTCAGTTCTCTGGGTCTTAGTACCGGTTATAGGTAATGACCCGTCATTATCACTGGATTTGGGGGGGTAGAGGTGGTAGATTGGTTTCAGAGCGGTCGTTGAATTTGTTTTTAATGCTTGTATTTTTGTTCAAATAAAAGGTACAGATTTTTTGTACCATAGTTAGGCATAATTGTACCATACTTCGTATTATTTTATTTTAATTGTATATATATGTACAAAGTTTATACATATTTGTACTGTAAAGAATTGATACAGTACCTTGTTTGACTATGCACCGGTCCTGTTGTGAGGTTATGGCCACCGGGGTAGGTGGGGAACAAACCCTACCCCCTAGTCGTGTATCAAACCACCGGTACGTGGACACTTATTTGAAAAAGCTGGGGATTTGAATTTGCGCGGGCTGGGTATCGTCCACGCACTAGTACAGATTCTGGAAGAAAACTTGTGTTCTGATTTGAACTTTGAGATAGAGGTTGAACATGCATAGCAAGATTATTCCTCATCAAGACCCCTCCAAGAAGATACCAATCTCTCCGACAGTGCGACCAGTGGCAAGGAAGCAAAGAAAATGTGCGAAACAACAAGTCAAACGAGTTTTGAAGCGCAACAAGGCATCAGATTGGGGTGATGATGGTAGAGAGATTCTTAATATCCCTTGTTCTCAGCCTGAGCTCTCAAGCTCTGAGCCTGAGCACCGCCGCCGCCGCCGTCACTGCCGCGCCGGCCGCCTGGCAAGCTCTCAGCCTGACTCGAGTGAGCACCCAAGCTCTCAGCCTGACTCGAGTGAGCACCCAAGCTCTCAGCCTGACTCGAGTGAGCTCCCAAGCTCTCAGCCTGACTCGAGTGAGCTCCCAAGCTCTCAGCCTGACTCGAGTGAGCTCCCAAGCTCTCAGCCTGAGCTCTCAACTGCTCAACCTCAACCTGAATTGTCTCATGATGATGCCGAAAATTTCGTTTACACTAAGGATTCGAAGTGTCCTGGGCAGCCGCACATTGGCAAATTTTTGAATAGCGTGGGCGAAAATCTGACCGATTGGCCAATCGCGCCTCCCTGCAAGACGTTTGATCAGTTTTGGCAAGACATTCAATCGAAAATTTCAAAGCCTCACCACGAGAACCCCATCAATTTTGACTATGTCGAAGACCCGGAGGCGCAAGAAGCGTTGGAAATTGCATATAATGAATACATGGTCCCAGTTTTGTTGAAGGTGTTGCAGATGGTAGCGATCATTCATGGAGTGAAAGATCTACCGCATGAAGAGCTATGGAAACGTCTTGGAAATTGCTTGCGGCCACGAGAAGAGTCAAATGTGTCGCCAAGGATGAACCCTTTGTTGATTGACAAAGTTATCCTTGGCCTAATGCAGAATGAGAACGTCAAGAAGTGCATTGAAACAAAAATCCCTACCGACGAAAAATTTGAAAAGAAATTGAAATATGTTGCCCGAGCATACGCGCCGAATGTCAATGAAGCATGTACTGGAGTGCATGCATCCAGAATGCCTATGAGGTCCTACATCGCGTATCATTCACACGTGAAAAGATTGAAGAGGGTTGCAGTTTCTGCGAAGCTAATCTGTAAGACGAGGGTCATGAAGAAAATCTGGCTGAAGAAAAACTTGAAGATGTTTTCCACTCGAGACCATGGCCATGGACTCAGTCTCAAAACTAGTCTCACCATGAAACTCAAGCAACTTGGCCTAGACCGTGAGAACATCATTGCTATGACTTTGAACTCAGATGCTGCGCTGCTTATCCGGAATCTCGGTGGAGACACCAAGCATACAGAAATTAGTTTCACGGTGTTTGTTCCCAAGAAGTATTGCAAAAATCTTCAGCAATGGGCGGAAGAGGAAAAGCGCATAAGACAAGCTTCGGACGCTTGTACCCTAATGATAATTCCTTTGTCAGACACTACAGCAACTCTGAAATTCAATTTCTGGGAGCCCTATCAGCCTGACATAGTATCCATTCTCAGAGATGGTTTGAAGATAGGGGATGCTACCATCAAATTTGTCTTGTTCTTCAGAGCAGATTTAATGGGACAAAATTCTCTGCTAAGTCACGGGGGCAGAAACGACTCAGACGGTACTTTCTGTATTCATTGTTGTGAACAAACTTCAGATCGGAAATCTGGAAAGTTCCTCCAAATTCGGGAGATAAATGGTGGGCCAGTCAGCTTCCGAGAACTTTGCAGGATGCATGGTACAGATCCTCTTAGTGTTAAGCTACTGAACGACATGATTCTCAAAACCAACAGTTCCAATTTGACGAACCCAATTGAAGATTTCAACGAGCATCTGTTCCAGGCTTTGGCATCGACTTCGAATCAAGATAAACTCAATCAATGCTTCGCAGATCCCGATGAAAAAATTGACGTTGCCGGACTTTCCCTTCCATTGCTGCGCTCTGTGAAGATCTCCAGAAAATGTCGCTATCTTGAAGAACTAAATTTTGACACTATTCATTTCATTTACTGTATGTTGCATCTGAAAATTCGGATTGTTAACATGTTGGTAAATCACGTCGTGCACCTGGCAGTAAACAGGTCCAAGTTGTCAGCAATCAACAAGCTATTGGCTGACAACAATATCAAGATCGTATTGAAGGACAAGGATTCGCAAAGGAATCTGAGCGGACCTCAGTGCGATCAGTTTATCCGTATTTTCGATACACTTATTTCTTCGTTGGTTCCAGATGGTGAAAAACTTCAATTGTGGAGAAGTGCTATTGAGCAATGGAAACAAATAATCACAGTTTTGTCATGCCAGCATTCAGAAGCTATCAGCAGCGAAGATGTTCAGAATTTACCAATCGAAATCAGAAGTTGGTGTACAAAAATCATCTGTCTCATCGCAAATTCCAAGCAATTGCAGAGTCACTACCTGCACTCGATGATGGTGGGTCATATTGGAGAACAATTTACCTATTTGTGGAATACTTTTGGAATCCCAATGGGTTTGATGAGTTTGTCTTGTGTAGAACGACGTCATCAGCTTTTGGGACGTCACAGCTACAAAACCTCGATCCCAGCCATTAATTGTGCAATGAGCGGGAAAAGGAAGCAGCAAGGCGAAAGCCTGAGTGAACATGGACCGTGTGGAGCAGGAGAGAAAACAAGGAAGGATTGTCAGTCTTACTTCACTCTGTCTGAATTAGCTCTGCACTCGTTCAACGAATGCACACCTGATGTTCATACCTGATTGTTCTAGTAAATGTATGTTGCGGCTAATCTGTATCGTTTGTCCTTTCCCCTCTGCTCTCCTTCTTAATCCGATGAACATACGTTTACTAGAACGTATGCTGCGTTGTAAACGTATGTTGCGTTCTATCCCCTCCACTCTCCTTCAAAGCACTAAGGGAGGGAGAATCATCGGAGAAAACGAAGCGCCAAAAGAGTCAAGGGTCTGGGAATTCCCAGATAATTTCATTATTCCAGCCTAATCGCACGATTCTCGAAAATTTCATTTTAATTACAGCTCGATCGACGTTCAAGCTAGGCTTGGAAACGAGTGTAAAATACAGCGGACCTTCAAGATAGATAGTGCCCCTCGCAGGTCCTAAATCATAAGGATTCGCTTTGAGAGGGATGTGCAGCTCTCTCTGAAACAAAGCAGTTTTCAATAATTCTGCATCTATGCACCAAGTGAATTGTTTCCCATTTTCTGATCCCGCACACGTAACAAGCTTGTCATCAATTGGGACCTTTTGCAATAAGGCAAGTATGCAATTGAATACAGGAATATGAATGTCGAAGTCAAGCCTCCTTGCTTTCCTTGGATTCCAATTAACAGCTCCACGAGCATTGAGCCATCGCTTTAGAGTGTCTCTGATTATCCAAAGCTCTGTAGAGGTTTTGAAATAATCGATCGTATTTCCTGGTTGTCCAAAATATGAGTGCAGCATATCAGCTGTCAGACGAAATTTTTGGAAGAACCCCATTTGGAGTCGCTCGTCCCTGTTCACATTTTCAAAACAAAGCCATCCGATCATTACGTCGCGGAGCCCCACTGCAAACATACCCCCAGATCCCCTCCCACCTTCCATCTGAGGTCATGGAGAGGCTCATTGGCCTCCATCTAGACTATGATCTGATACCTCCTTGTGTCATCCGACTCATATATATACTGAGGCGGGCCCGCAGGGCCCGCCTTACAATAAACTCACGTCGGGAGCCCCACTGCAAACATACCCCCAGATTGATCTGATACCTCCTTGTGTCATCCGACTCATATATATACTGCGGCGGGCCCGCAGGGCCCGCCTTACAAAAAACTCGTAACGTCGGGAGCCCCACCGCAAACATACCCCCAGATCCCCTCCCACCTTCCATCTGAGGTCATGGAGAGGCTCATTGGCCTCCATCTAGACTGATCTGATACCTCCTTGTGTCATCCGACTCATATACATACTGAGGCGGGCCCGCAGGGCCCGCCTTAGAAAAAACTCGTAACGTCGCGGAGCCCCACCGCAAACATACCCCCAGATCCCCTCCCACCTTCCATCTGAGGTCATGGAGAGGCTCATTGGCCTCCATCTAGACTGATCTGATACCTCCTTGTGTCATCCGACTCATATATATACTGAGGCGGGCCCGCAGGGCCCGCCTTACAAAAAACTCGTAACGTCGGGAGCCCCACTGCAAACATACCCCCAGATCCCCTCCCACCTTCCATCTGAGGTCATGGAGAGGCTCATTGGCCTCCATCTAGACTGATCTGATACCTCCTTGTGTCATCCGACTCATATATATGAGGTCATGGAGAGGCTCATTGGCCTCCATCTAGACTGATCTGATACCTCCGACTCATATATATACTGAGGCGGGCCCGCAGGGCCCGCTGGGAGCCCCACTGCAAACATACCCCCAGATCCCCTCCCACCTTCCATCTGAGGTCATGGAGAGGCTCATTGGCCTCCATCTAGACTGATCTGATACCTCCTTGTGTCATCCGACTCATATATATACTGAGGCGGGCCCGCAGGGCCCGCCTTACAAAAAACTCGTAACGTCGGGAGCCCCACCGCAAACATACCCCCAGATCCCCTCCCACCTTCCATCTGAGGTCATGGAGAGGCTCA